CGTGAAAAGATAAAAAAACTTACTGACCTTTCGGTCGCTAGTTCTTCATAAGAGTAAAAGAGAGAGAGGTGGTGGAAAAAAGTGTTTATGTACTAAGAACAAGACAAAATAAACCAATAAGCACAACGTGATTTTCATCTTCATATAGCTGACAGTAGCAAATAATTTTTTCTATCACATGCACCATTGCCTTAGAGTTTAATCGTTTAATTGCTCGTAATGCAACTAATAAAGTATTCATGTATACTTATATATGTAGCTGAAAGCAGAGCTGGGAAGAATCCTTGGAAATCCAAACATTGTCAAGAAGATGAAAGAAACATGGCATATGAAGAAGCCTGCGATTTTGTCCGCTCTGAAAAGTGAAACAAAACAGGAAATACGCTCATTACTGTTTTCCCTGGAAGATTGTGATCCAGCAGATGAAAAAGGTAAAAGCAACGATAATTATTTGTTTTCTGCAACAATAAAAGTGACAACAGAAAGAGAACTGTGCCCAAAAGGAATTGACAATATGCCAATCCTATAATTGCATAAATCAAGGAGTTTCTTCTACGTTAATGTGAAATTTTTTATCCAAGCTTTCGGACCTTTTAGTCCATTGTCAGGGAATGAATGAAATTACAAATCTTAAGTCAGTTATACTATGACGAGTAATTCTAAAGCGCACTCTAGATGCTAAATATGTACATGGGTATAAAAAAAGGATTCTAAAAGATGTTGCATGCCTGTAAAAGAAGAAGATGAATTTCAGAGAATGTCTTCTTTAAACATTCTGTTCTTTTTCTTCCTCTTTTAAATGAAATAGAACCGCTTTTAGATTCCAATTTAGATTACAAATTATTTATAATTATTCTTTCAGTAGTGGGGAAGTACCAGATCAACTTAAACTAGCCAATGTGATACCTATACATAAGAAGGACTCTGTTACTTGTATGAACAACTACAGACCTATTTCTTTACTCTCAATATTCAACAAAATAATGGAAAAACTTGTGTATAAGAGATTGATTTCCTTTATTGACAAGCATA